AGAGCCAGGGAGTGTCTGAGGTTAGATTTGGACTCAGGTCTTGCTGACAGTGCTGGGCTAATGCTCTATCAGCCTGTGAATGGCCTAAGCAAACACTGACTAGAAGAGACTTTGTTGAAACTGAGCCCCTCTCCCTGTCACCCAACCCCCAACTCCCATCTCTCAGAAGGTAAAAGAAGTGTAATCAGGTCCATTTGTCATCAGTCAGGGCAATGACTTTCCTTTCCAGTGGGCCTCGGCCTTGCCCTGGGCTTGTGCAGACAGTCTTCCCTGCAAGGGGGAAAACACTGGGCTCCCTAGAGAGGTGACCAGCCTGAACTCCCAAGGCAAATGTCTCCCTGTGGCTCTGAGCCTTGCTGCTAATGCTGCTCTTCTCTGCAGATCCTCCTCCAGCTTCCAGGTGGTCCTTTCCACCTCAGCGCCTGATCCCCAGAGGGCTTCGGGAATGCAGAGGGCTCTTTCCAGGGCACCGAGTCCTGGGCCTGTGTGTAGGGAGGCCTTGTGCTCTGGGGGCAGTCTCTCCCCTCTAGTTCTGCAGTCTATGGAGCCGTTGTCTTCTCAAGAGCAGAGTTGAGATGAATCTTTGGCCACCAGGGTCCTCACAAGAAGGGGCAAGGATAGATTTAGAGCTGGAGGAGACCTCAGAGGTCAGGGAGAGCAAGCCCTTCATTTTAGAGGGAAGGAAAAGAGGTCAAGAGACTTGACCAAGGTCACACAGCTAGTAAGCAGCTACAGTGGAATGGCTTCCCAGAACTTCCTGGCTCCCAGCCCAGCACTGGAACCAGAACACTGGGATCCCTCTCAGTAAGTTGGCACCCGGTCAGGGAGAGACAAAGGAGTCATCAGTGGGGCGATGGGGATTCAGGATGAGGAGATTGGACACCTTACTAAGGTTTTAGCCGAGAGAAAAGGCTGTGTGTGTGGGGGGGGGGGACTTTCTGGGAACATGAGGGGGCTGGGCAGGCCTGTCCCTCTCCCCACTCCACCACGGACCCTAGGCAATATACTTTTCCTTTCTGTCTGACAAACACACATGTATACACACACAATCTCACAGGGGCTGTGTTTCATAAACATACAAGATATAAAGATCTAAAAGGATTTAGTTTGCCTGGTCTGGACAACACTGGTTACTAAGAGGCTATGGATGTTTGTGATTTGTTGGTGGAAAAGCCAATGTGAGTTTGAATGTGGCTTTGCTTATTCCTGTCCCGACCTGGCCCCTAACGCTCTGTAGCCCTTGGATGGTGCCTGTGCAAAGGAGGTTGGTGCCATACTTGTTACAAAGCAAAGCTTCAAAGGTTCTTGTTGCAACGGTCGCCACTTTGTTGCTCCAGGTTTGCCAGAGTATAGGAGTTGCTGTCTTTAGAAGCCCTCCATCCCTTCCCAGTTCTCTTTGATACATAAGGCCCCAGGAGATGAAGTCCATGTGACCCCCGGTGTGGCCTTTCTAACCTTTACCCGTGGGGGTCAGCAGTCTGGCCGCTGTATCTGGGGGGAGGGGGGAGGAAGGTGAGAGATCCTAGGAGATAGTTCAGCCAGTTTGCCCTATTATTTCTCAGATCTATTTGGAGGAGTACAAGAGTGGGTGAGGCAGCTCTTCCACAAAGTGGCGTGGAGAAAGGCTGGATGGGCAGGATCCAGGGTGCTGGAGGTCCTGGTGGAAGGTCTGGGAGAGCAGGCAGGTATAATCGAGGCTCTTATGAAGGGAGGAAGAAGGGTCTCTGGGACAAGTCTTTCCCTTCCATGCTCCCGACCTCTGATTTTGACTTTCCCTGGAGTTCCTAAATCTCAGCACCTCGTAGTACCACTTAGGGAAAATAGGCGGCCCGGGAGGTGGGAGGGACTGGGGTGACTTGGGCAAAGAGAAGAAATACCTCCTCCCACAGGTCTTAGTGGTCCCCATCACTATAGACAGATATACAGGTCCCCTTTATCTCTCCTCCACTTCTCCCCTTTCTCTCTCACAGAATGCATTCATCCATTCTTGTCCTCAAGAAGCCCACACCCGACTTACAGAGTGAATGCTATGCTATAATTATTGTGATGCATCCTTATTTTTCTTCAGCTTTTGAATTTTTAATGCATGAAAACAAAGGGTTCAGTGCATTTTTTTTGGGTGCCAGGTTTAAAAGAATCCCTTAGAGAAACATGATCTATTTGTTTTAGTGAAGGAAGCAGAGCAACCTACGTTCCAGACGTTGCTGGTGTCAGGACATTGAGGGACGTCTAGTGTGGTTCTTTCCATTCAGCCATGAATTAGGTTGGGGGACAAATTAGGTTTCTGCCATTTCCTTTGCTCTGAAGCTTTGAAAATGAAAGGGTTATCTGGAACCTACTGTGTGATACTTGTGAATGGAGATCCAGGGAACCTACTGTAAAGGGTTGTAGACTAATGAGGCTCTTCAGAACTGCTTAGAACAGGCACGTCAGAGTGGAACGTTTCATATTCCTCCCGACTTTGCGGGTGCCGATATGAAGCTTCATATCTCTCCCCCTTTCATTCATCCAAGTGCTTTCAAGGATTTTATTGGCACTAAGGCAGCTCAAAAGAAGAAGCTAAACAGGCCGTGCAATCTTTCCTGCCCCCCACCCCAAGTTCGTGGTTAATGTGTCTGGTGCTCCTCCTTACTCGATAATCTCCATAACCAACATGTATGCATGAAAATGGGGAGTCAATGATTCACGTTTTTCTAGACCCTGTAAATGGGGCATGTAAGTTGTGCCCCTGGCCACCAGATCCCCGCATATGTAATCCACTCTTGAAATTCCCTTGGAACTGAGGCTCCAATTCCATGGGGTGGGGTATAGGTGTGTGTGTGGGGGGGGGCTTCAAAGCACTCTGCATCGGTCCAGGCACCTCTGTTTAGGGATGCCGCCACGGACTTGAAGAAAGTAGGTCTCCTTCAGTCTCTTATGGGCTGCTCTGACTCGCCTTAACTGATCTCCTTAACCCTGGCGCCTTTTGCTGTCCCGACTTTCCGGTCCTGCTCAAGCCTTCGATGCCCTCCCCTTTCCCTCACGAAACGATTACCAAAAGGGAAGGAGGAAGAAGGAAGAGAGACTTGGCCACTCTAGAAATTACAGCTTTGGGGGGAGCGACCACGGAGATCCCTGCTCGGTGCCTCCCTTGCCCTCGCACCGCCATAGTGCTGTCCAGACCGAAGCCCTCCAGAAAGCCTCCCCTCCTCCCCTCTGCCGAAGAACTTCACAAAGTCAAAGTTGGAAGGAAATCTGCAGGTCATCTAATTTATGCTTGAAGTGGCCACTTTTCCAAAGCCGCCTCTCTAGACTAGAGCTCCTCCTCCGAAATCCAGGGGCTGTTGGGGGCCTTTGCTGTGCCTGCTCAACAGTTCCTACATAAATCGAGTTTAGCAACAGCTGCGCGGCCCCCCGCCCCCACGGGGCAGCGCCAGAGCTCATCCTGCTCAGCTCATCTTAGGCTACTTTCGGGAAAATCGGTCGTAGCAGCTGCGTTCAGTTATCAGTGAATTCAAAAAAATGCACCCAGCCCAGGAACTGTTGGCTCGGTTGGCGTGGTTGAGCTCTGAGGAAGGGACCGACGGTCGCCCCTCACCAACAAACCAGCAAAGCAGCAAAGCAAAAAGCCTCTGGGTCTGTCAGCAGGGTCTTCTCCCTTTCGGGCTGGACTCCCTGGGGGTGGTTGCCCGGGTCGCGTTTCCCCCGGCAGGATTTTCCCTCTCTGGCTCCCGCCCTCCAGGTCTCCGCTTCTCCCCTCCCCCGCCCCACGCCCCCGCGCCGGGTGGCCCCTCCCTTCCCCATTCTCCATTTTCTGTTTTTTTGCGCTCCTACCCAGCAGAGCCCGAGAAGTGAGCGGAGCCATTTTCCTTGCTCACGGGCGAGGAGGGCTGGGACGGCGCACCAATCACAGGGCAGCCCTTACCTATATATAAGTGGGTCAGCTCGGAGCTCGCTTATTCGCGAGTCCGCGGCGTCCTCTAGTGACTTCTTGCTGTTGCTGCTGTATCGTCCCTTCGCTGCCATGTCCGAGACGGCACCCGCCGCTCCCGCCGCCCCGGCCCCTGCAGAGAAGACCCCGGCCAAGAAGAAGGGCAAGAGGGCCTCGGCCGCCGGGGGAGCGCGGCGCAAGGCCGCGGGTCCGCCGGTGTCGGAGCTGATCACGAAAGCCGTGAGCGCCTCCAAGGAGCGGAATGGCGTGTCCCTGGCAGCCCTGAAGAAGGCGCTGGCGGCCGCGGGCTACGACGTGGACAAGAACAACAGCCGCATCAAGCTGGGGCTCAAAAGCCTGGTGAGCAAGGGCACCCTGGTGCAGACTAAGGGCACCGGAGCCTCGGGCTCCTTCAAGCTGAACAAGAAGGCCCCGACGGCCGACACCAAGGCTAAGGCCAAGAAGCCGGCGTCGGCCAAGACCAAGAAGGCCGCGGGCGCTTCCAAGAAGCCCAAGAAGGCGACGGGGGCCGCGGGCGCCAAGAAGAGCGTGAAGAAGAGCCCGAAGAAAGCCAAGAAGCCGGCGGCCGCCAAGAAAGCGGCCAAGAGCCCGAAGAAGGCCAAGGCAGCCAAGCCCAAGAAGGTGGCCAAGAGCCCGGCTAAGCCCAAGGCGGCCAAGGCCAAGAAGGTGACCAAGCCCAAGGCGGCTAAGCCCAAAGCCGCCAAAAGCAAGAAGGCAGCGGCCAAGAAGTAGAGCTCGAGCCCTCGAAACTTGACACACCCAAAGGCTCTTTTCAGAGCCACCCACTCACCTCAGAAAAAGAGCTGAGCCTACGAACACACAAGTCCCCTATAGAAATTAGTAGTGTTTCTAAAATCGCCATGTCCGTTGATGTAAGGCGGAATACCCAAATCAGGAAAAACCCGAACACTAACACCCCCCCCCCTTCCCCTTTCTTCAAAACTAAATAATTAATATATAAAACAAATGGGGAAAGGATTCTTCCACTCACCCCCCCCCCGTTTCCATCTTTTTCCCCCCTCTCGGACCGCCCCTAGCCTAGGCTAATAATAAATACTACTTACTCCATACGTACTGATTTATTTGCTTGCTCCTCTCATATGAATGAATGCCTAAATGATGGGGGGAGGGGGGGAGGAAGTTCGTTGCTCTTTCAAGTCCCGTTACCCCCCATACTTGTATTGTAGCTCGGATTTTTCTTTCTAGCAGGGGGGAAGGGAAGGGGAATGGGGTTGGGGTGCCCCGCCCTACTGATTTTGCTGTTGCTCCTTCTGGGCCGGGCCAGAGAGAAAGCAGAAAACATGTACTTTATGGACATCGAAGCCAGGAACACGGGAAAGTCCCATGCCAAGCAAAAGGAAACCGGGGCGGTCACAGCTACTCTCGTGAGAACGTGGGTGGCTCTGAAAAGAGCCTTTGGGGTGTGGACCTTCCACGAGGGGAAAGCAGCGCCTTACGCCCTCTCACCGCGGATGCGGCGGGCCAGCTGAATGTCCTTGGGCATGATGGTCACTCTCTTGGCGTGGATGGCGCACAGGTTCGTGTCTTCGAACAGCCCCACCAAGTATGCCTCGCTAGCCTCCTGCAGAGCCATGACGGCCGAGCTCTGGAAGCGCAGGTCCGTCTTGAAGTCCTGAGCGATTTCGCGCACCAGGCGCTGGAACGGCAGCTTGCGGATCAGCAGCTCCGTGGATTTCTGGTAGCGCCGGATCTCCCGGAGAGCCACGGTGCCAGGCCGGTAGCGGTGAGGCTTCTTCACGCCGCCAGTGGCCGGGGCGCTCTTGCGGGCAGCCTTGGTAGCCAGCTGCTTGCGGGGCGCTTTGCCACCGGTGGACTTACGGGCGGTCTGCTTGGTACGGGCCATTGCGAGCGAGGAAGAACTAAGCTTCTCCTGTGCTGGAACACGACTGAGAACTGCACGCCAGCCGGTAGCCTTTATAGACGCAGAAGCACCCTGATTGGGCTGAAGGAGTTTGAAAGTCCCGCGCTGAGCCTGCATTGGCTGGCGACGCAAACCAACAACAGTGCCTTGCCATTGGGCGTTCCAGGCGCTTTCCGGTTTGCCAGCTCTCAGACGCCCCGCCCCGCCCCTCCCCCCTCCCCCCTTCCCCCGCCCCTCCCCCCCACCCTTCTCCTTCCCGTCCCCGTCCCCGCCCCTCCCCCCCCCCCTCCCCCCTCCCCCACCCCCACCCCACCCGCCAGGGAAAACCATCACTAGCTGGGTAGGTCTTGGCTCCTCATCAATCTCCCGGTACTGGATTTTCTGTTAATGAGCCTGTTTAAAAAGTTGTGCGGCCCCCTCCCCTTTCTCTCCCTTCCCCTCCCTCTGTTCTGCGGGGGGCAGGGGGGCAGAAGAGAAACCACCTAAAACGTTCGGTGCTGTGACGTGACGTCGGTGCCCTATCGATCCCCCCCAACCTTCCACCGGGTCCCTGGAATTTTGTGTTGCCCGCCACTGACTTGGCCCTCGCGGCGCCAGGGCCCTCCCGCGGTTCTCCAGGGCAGCGGCTCTCCGAGCTTTCCAGAGCGCCCACCGCGCCGCCCGATCTAAAACACTGCACTGGACTCCCACGAGGGCAAGAACGAGGGACTTTTTTTAAAATTATTATTATTATTTCAACCTTCTCCCCTTTGTAAGAGCCGTGCTACTAAAGTTGTGCAATACTACTTCCGGGAGCCATCCCTCCCCTCGCATTCCCAGCAGGGTTCCACTGTGTACTGTGTGCTGGGTTCTGGACAGCGAATGAAAAGCCCGCCTAAGCGGTGGATTGGCCAGGAGCCTGGCTCCCAAGCTGTCTGCGGGAAAGCTTAAGCTACGGGCACGTATGGATTGCCGACGTTTTGGGGTCCCCGCCCCGCGGACACGAGTCGGCAGCTGGCCCAAGTTTCCGCCAAGTACTCTTGGTGATAGAGAAACTTTGCCACCTTTTGACCAGAGGGTGAAGCAGCACTGGGTGCTACCCACAGCTTTTGGGACAGGGAGGGTAGAAGTTAGGGTGAGGCTAGAGCGAAATTCAGGTGTGTCGACCCAGGCTCGCTAACCTAGCAGTCACTTTGCATTTTACTCGGTTTGTTTGGTAGTTGGTTTCGGTTCGTGCTGGGAGCGGGTGGACGTGTGCAACAAGTCACGCCGCCTTGGCGTCCGGATTGGGATCGAGATTCGGCAACAGCCCTTTTTTTTTGACAGGGTGGGTGGCTCTGAAAAGAGCCGTTGGTTTCGGGAATGAGCCTTTCGGCCCCAGGAGCTCCGAGTCCGCTTACTTGCCCTTGGCCTTATGGTGACTCTCGGTTTTCTTGGGCAACAGAACGGCCTGGATGTTGGGCAGCACGCCGCCCTGGGCGATGGTCACCTTGCCCAGCAGCTTGTTGAGCTCCTCGTCGTTGCGGATGGCCAGCTGGAGGTGGCGGGGGATAATACGCGTCTTCTTGTTGTCTCTGGCTGCGTTGCCCGCCAGCTCCAAGATTTCAGCCGTCAGGTACTCCAGCACCGCCGCCATGTAAACGGGGGCGCCGGCGCCGACCCGCTCGGCGTAGTTCCCTTTGCGCAGCAGGCGGTGCACACGGCCCACGGGAAACTGCAGCCCCGCACGGGACGAGCGGGACTTTGCCTTGGCGCGAGCCTTGCCTCCCTGCTTTCCGCGGCCAGACATGACGGATACGAGTACAACACAGCTGCGTCAATCACCGACTGAAAAACTACACTGGTGCCCGGACCCGCCGCACCGGGGCCTTTTATAGCTTGCGCGGGGAGTGGGGAACGGGGCCGTCTGATTGGCTCACAGGCTGTCTTTGTCCGAATGGCCAGTGGGGAGGCTCGCCTCGGATTCCGTTATTTACATGGCCGTCCTCTCCGCCTATGACGACACCCCTGAGAAGCCACCAATGGGAGCCTAGCGTTGCCGGAGCCTTCATTTGCATATGAGCACTATAAGTAGCGGGGGCCGGCTCAGCAGTCTTCGTTGTTCGTTTCTCGCAGTTGCTCCTTCTCTTCTTTTCAGCCCTTTCTCTGTTGCCGATATGCCTGAGCCGGCCAAGTCTGCCCCTGCCCCGAAAAAGGGCTCCAAGAAAGCCGTGACCAAGGCCCAGAAGAAGGACGGCAAGAAGCGCAAGCGCAGCCGCAAGGAGAGCTACTCCATCTACGTCTACAAGGTGCTGAAGCAGGTCCACCCCGACACCGGCATCTCCTCCAAGGCCATGGGCATCATGAACTCCTTCGTCAATGACATCTTCGAGCGCATCGCCAGCGAGGCTTCCCGTTTGGCGCACTACAACAAGCGCTCCACCATCACTTCCCGGGAGATCCAGACGGCCGTGCGCCTGCTGCTGCCCGGGGAGCTGGCCAAACACGCCGTGTCCGAGGGCACCAAGGCCGTCACCAAGTACACCAGCTCTAAGTAAGCGGGTCTGCCCCAGGAGTCGCTCGTGCCCCTTCGCCCCGAAACAAAGGCTCTTTTCAGAGCCACCCACCCTTTCTTGGAAAGGAGCTGTCTCGCTCGCGCCCAAAGGGCTTTCACAAACGAGCCTAGGACCCCCACACCTGTCTACTTCTCCCCTTACTTTCTAGGCCTCCTTCCAAATCGCCACTTGCCCCAAGGCTACGAATCTAGGTGCTGAGGGGCTGTGTTTGGGGGTGGGGGGGGACGGAACAGGACGGGACCGTCCCACGCAGGCCCGTAGGCTTGAGGCTTTCGTCTCTAAACTCGCTCCAGGACTTTTCCTGTCAACTTTTACTTTTCCCTTAATCTCTAAGCTCCTCCTCTCCCCCTTCCCTTCCCCCCTCACCGCGCAAGCTCCGCTGCCCTTTCTGATTGTGAAACGGCTCCCCTGGGCAAATTCAACTCTACTCTCTCCGCTTGTGGAAAAAAAAAACTTATTTCACA